CCATTGACAGGTTGAAATTAAGTCAACTTTTGCTAAATGCTGTTGAAGCTGATCCTAACATTACGCTTTGCTTTCAACACAAGCTCATTCGTGCTGATCTCAAGAAGCAGTCACTTACATTTCAAGCCCCCGAGGGAGAGAAAGAACTGACGGTTGGGTTCACATTTGGGTGTGATGGCGCTTTTTCAACAGTTAGGCGTCAAATGATGAGATCTGGCGATCGATTCAATTACACACAAGAGTACATTGAGCATGGTTATAAAGAGCTACACATGCCACCTAAAGCTGAAGGAGAATATGCAATGCCTCCTAATTACCTCCATATATGGCCACGTCAGGAATTCATGATGATAGCATTGCCTAATCAAGATAAGAGCTTCACTCTCACTCTTTTTATGCCTTTTGAAATGTTTGATAATATAAAAACCAAGGAAAATCTTCTGTCTGTTTTTATGAAGCACTTTCCTGATTCTATAAAAAAAATAGGCGAAGCTAGGCTAGTGGAGGATTACTTCAAGAATCCAACAGGATCTCTGATGTCCATCAAGTGTGACCCCTACTATCTTGATTGTTCCACTGTTCTATTGGGAGATGCTGCTCATGCAGTAGTTCCATTTTATGGACAGGGCATGAATGCTGGTATGGAGGACTGTCTTGTTTTCGATGAGTGTCTTGAAAAAGTAATAACAAGTGGAGGAGTGGGTGATCTTGAAGCTGCAGCTAAAGCTTATTCTAATGCCAGGTGGAGGGATGGGCATGCAATAGCACAGCTTTCAAAGGAAAATTATGATGAAATGAGATCACACGTTACAAGTCGTCTTTTTCTTTTAGAGAAAAAAATCAATAACGCTCTCCACAGGAAATTTCAAAATTCTTTTATTCCTCTTTATACCATGGTTACATTTACAAGAATGGGCTATCATGATGTGATAGAGAAGAACAACAGGCAGAAGAATATAGTTAAAATCATTACGATTGCTATATTCATATTTGTTGTGCTGATTTTTATATTTCTTTTTGCTTTGCTATTCTCACTGATGAAATAAGAAACTGTTTATGCTTCAATGACATTAGGTTATTGCTCTTTATTAATGATTTTGTATTCATTTTTAGATGTAGAATATTAATTTTTGAATAGATCAATTTTTGAATAATTTATTAATTATAAGGTAACAAGAATAGCAATATTTTAAATAACAAATTAGTAAACTACACTAAATCTGAAAAAGACAGATTCACATTACAGGCAACAAATTAAAATAATAGCCTGTACATCTATAAATCTTGTTCAGAATAAAAAACTGTTTCATAATTAATATCAAGCATTGACTTGTTAAAGTCAGGTAGCAATAGCTCTGCAATACTGTTGTGTCCACTGTCAATGGCATGCTCTAAAGCAGTCCATCCTTCATCATCTATTATGCCGATTGTTGGGTTATACATTAACAAAAGCTCAACCACTTTATAATGGCCACCCATACAAGCTAACATTAAAGCTGTCATTCCTTCATTATCTTGAATATTTATGCCTGGGTCATTACGAAGCAAATGTTCAACAACACTACGATGTCCTTTATCACAAGCAATCATTAAAGAAGTTTGTCCGTCATTGTTTTGTAGATTTAAATCTGGATCTTTGCTTAGCAATAAGTCAGTAGTTTTAATGTCCCCATTAAAACTAGCAAACATTAGTGCAGATGCCCCGTCACCATTTTGAATGTTAACGTTAGGGTTTTTACTAAGTAAGAGTTCAGCAACTTCACAATGATTTGCAGAGCAGCAAGCTATTAAAGCAGTCATTCCTTCTTCATTTTGAATATCCAGTTGAGGATCTTTGTCTAATAATAATTCCACTACAAGGTAAAGTCCATATAGGCATGCACACATTAAAGCAGTCATCCCTACATTGTTATGAATGTTGAGATTAGCGTTATTGTCAAGTAGAAGTTCAATCATTTTGTGCTGTTCTTCTTCACAGGCAATTATTAGTGCTGTATTACCCTGCTGATTCTGGGCATTGATATCTGAAGTCCTGTCCAATAAAATTTGGAATATTTCATATTGTCCTGAACGCACAGCTACCATCAAAAAGGTTTCCCCTTTATCATTTCTATAATTTGTATTACAATTTCCATGATCAAGGAGATACTTGATTACATTAATCTTGCCTTGTTTGATATTTTCTAATAATTGGTCCTCTCTTGTCGTATGACCATAATCATCTTCTAAATGATTCCTCCTTTCAATTAATTGTACGCGTGGGTTCTCTTCTCTGGCATCCAAAATGCTCATTGCAGAGATCTTGTCTTTATTTATTATGACTATAGGAGTGTCATCTATAAATACTCCATCTATGTTAAAATTACCTCCAAGCAATTCCTGTTCGATTTCAAAAATTGCCTGCATTTGTGAATGTGGAACAAGGAAGTAACAGACAAATGAGTTGTGGTTATGTGCCGAAACTTTGAGGAAATTTAGAGAATGCACTGCAGTAGATAAACTAGGTAAGCTCACAAACTTTAAAAAAACTGATAGAAACATAGAGCCCCAATTCTTGCCAAAAATGATTTTTAATATTGAAAAACCTTTGTGCAATTGCAAATTTTGCACTGTTTCTTTTTCTGTAGCCACAGCAAGCTCTGCCAAAGTAGTTGTATCTTTAAATTTAGTCAGTTTAGAAGAGTAAGACTCAACAAGATTCTGAAAATCATGATTATCAATAACAGCTCCACTTCTAATGAAAATTTTGACATTAAGGCATGAGTAATAAGGTTGTAGTTGTT